TTATATTTTATATTATATTTTCAAATGCACAAAGGAATACAAATCAACAGTTTGCAGTAACTACTTTGTGTGCAAATCCTTTTGTCTTGATAAGACAGTCGATACAAACACTTCATCTGTGAAGGTAATAAATCTATTCAAATCAATCAAACATATGCTTTATAGGTAGATTTAGCACTGTGCAACAGTATTTGCAGTTATATGCTTTTTAATACACCAATGACACATTAAGAAAGAAAGCATACACATCAGGAAGTATTAAAAATAAATAATTCTAAAATATTCAGTGCTGCTTTTAGAGAGCTGAAAGCATCTTTTTTCAGCACCTACAATGCTGTAGAGTTCTGGTTTGTAATACTTGAAATTTTCAAAAAGTTGTGTGTATTTACAATGGTATATAATACAAGGACAATCATTTTAGAATAAGCTGAAATTCGTCTTGATAAAATCCTGTCTCCATTAGACCAGAAGATGTCTAGAGAAGATTGTAAGAACAGGGCAAGTTTATAGTAACACTTCTCCAGAGCATTTTCCATGTCTTCAGGTATTCGTCATTCAGATTATTGCTGAACCAGAACAAAAACCAAAGTCATCTTTACATTCTATACCCTCCCCCAATGGATATTTCTTTCATGGAGTTTGTCTAATTGAGATCTGAGGTGATAATTGCCACACACGTGCTGAATTATTTATATTCCTAGATAAAAATCAGTATAAAATACAGATTGTATATTGACTCAATGTTCAGGAAAGCAAGTTTACCACAAACAGGCAGAAGAGAAGAAATAGTTTCATATGCAACTGGAAGAGCTATCTGTGGATCAAGAACTATTCCATCTTCATTAAAGAAGTCATCATAAGTCCACTCTTCATAAGGATCTTTATCTCCTCCAAAAGATGTTGTCTGAAAAAGAACATTGCCAAAAGTACTCACAATGAAAAGAACAGCTAATAAGTCTACTAACAAACTAAGTATTGCAAGAGATTCCAGTTTTCAAATACAGGAATAGAACATGAACTTCTATTTCAAAATGGATTCTACTATGCTACTTTTTGTTAAATGGCCAGTAGCATTAAACTCACTTCCTCTTTAGAGTGGCCACATTTCTTTTTAACGTTGCAGTTATTTAGTTTTACAGCCAAAATGCGTTCTCAATTAATTTAACAGAGGCTTTCATAAACGTTCTTGGCCAAATATTACAAGCAAACATTTTTCAAATGGAACATTTAAAAAAAAAAAATTAATGCATAAATATGCTTGCCTAGCCACTTTGATCTATTCCGCTCAAACTGTAAGAGCCCATTCATTTCAAGTAGCTTAAAGTACTGCTTGACCTGAACAAAAAACAAAGATGCTATTCAAGAACTTGATCCATCTTAAAGTTTTATAAAACTGTTGGGAATGCCTTCACGTAATACATGCATTTAAAAATCAAACACTCCCTGCCATATTTTACCTATTTAAAAGAAAAAAAAAAAAAAACCAAAACAAAACAAAAAAAACCAACCTTTTTTAAAGTCAGCTCTCTACGCTCTCTAGCAGTCCTGGCAGCAGCTATTCAATAAAATCACTAATATTTTCAGTCACATTAGCAGGATTTATTACACTGAAGTGGAGAATGCTATTTGTGCTTGTGCCACAGCTGTACTGCTTTTAGTACTCAAATCAGTTTACTCTTTATGCTGAAGTACACACATATTTGGGGAAATTTTTATTTGTAGAGCTGTGTGGGGTTTTGTTGTTGTTTGCTTTTTAAACAAACTGATTAAATAGTACTGGAGAAATAGGAAAAAAAAATGTATGTACAGTGAACACTATTCAGTCAATCAAGACATTACATATACTAAAAAAATATATTTAAGTTAGCAGAAAATACCTTTGCTGTAAATCCATAGTTTTCTATCTGGCATTGTCTGTAAATTTCCTTGGCAGCCAAAGTATATTTACATAGTTCTAGAGAATCTAATAGCAAATCTGTAAAAATATTAAGATCATTAGCATACTATGAATGGAAGGTTCGTATGTCCTATTAAAAGGAAAGAATTTTCTGCAGCACCTATTTTTACAGAGGCATATACAGAAATTCACTTTGTTTTCATGTTTATTAAATATTGTTTGGAAAGTTGGATTCCTAACATGAACACAAGTAAATGATAATAGTCAGTACCTGGACTACATATTGTAGCTGCTTGGCAAGCCATTTCATAGATCACTGCTGGAAGATTCATATCTTTAGGAGTGATCATTGGAACATCAGATCCCAACATATGACAAAGCCTTTGACATGCTGAAAACAGCAGCTTCCCTGTTTCTTCATTACAGTGATTTTCATAGAACTCCCTATTAAAAAAAAAAAAGGATGTTAAAAATAAATTAAAAAAAAGTCCTTAGGGCTTTTACTTAAGGCCACATTCTGTTCTAATTATTTAATTCTCTTTTACTTATTTCACCTATATGACTCACTGCAACTAAAGCTTCTGTGACTGAAGTGAAAAAATACAATGGAGCTTAGCTTAGAGATATACACCGAAGCACATAGAACACGTCAATAATAAGAAATATACTTAACATTTTCATCTGATCACTTTTGGGGGGGGAGGTGGTAGTAAGTTTAAATTATCTGACAGCCTAAGAATGAAGCAGAGACCAGCCAGAAACTACGATGTCGTATGTATAGTCAGTATATAATAGTTTTCTACCCGTGTAAGCCGAGAAGCTCTCATAATGGTTATTTAATATCATGCCTTACTTATCTCTCACTATAAAACTGTAGGGAATCTTTCTGCTTCGTAATCACATTATGGTAAAAAAACCAATGGCAATTTTCAGAGACGACCAACTTAACTCTACACTCAATGTTGCATACAAGCAATATAAGCATATTGCTTAAACACTCACTTTTAGAAAAAAACCAAAACACCCCTTTCCTTTGCTCTACATCTAATTACTTCTTAGAAGTATCAGAAATAGTACAGAAAAGTCCATTAAGTTATAGTCTTGAAAATCTCTGCAGTTTTACCTGCATATTTTTACAGCATCTTCAACTTTTCCAGCATCTAGTGCTCTCAAGGCCAGTTTTTCTCCCAGTTCTTGCTCTGACCTTTGCAGGAGCAAAGCCAGTCTATACAACCTCGATTCAGTAGAACGGTTCTTGGTTTTACCATCTTCTGAATTGCAATTCATTGTTTGCACTTTTCTAGGCTTTGATAAAGATCTGACAGTTTCATAAGCTTTTATGTGCTTCTCAAGAAGCCGAGACATCAGTGAAGGATTCCTAAATTCTTCGACTGAAAGAAAGATATCAAAATCTTCCTGCAACAAAATAATAAGATTATATATTTGTATTCATGTAACTTCCTTTAAAAATGTTGGGAGGGTTTTTTTTGTTAAAATGTTTTTATTTCTTGTTTCATTCTTAGAGGAATACTTTCAGTACAAAGTTGACTTTACTAGTTTTTACCAATTACTGATTTATGTAATAAACTAGAGAATTTTGCTAGGCAGTAGGTAAGCAAAATAAAAAAAGCTGAAGGATACTGCATGCTCAAATGCTGTATTAAATAATTTAAGTTTACAAACTATAATAAGGCCTTAATAACATATTACAGTACTCTATCATGAAATCATTGAAGTGTTAGCAATTAAGACTTTCGGGACAGTATCTAATTTTTTGGTTTAAATGGACAAATGAGTTCCAGTAATTGGAAAATTTCCCAGGCACTATTTAAATTGCTAGATTAGCCTTAGAATCTCTTTGAAGTCAATAATAAAAACAACCTTTGCACGTAAGTTGTAAATACAGTTAATTTTTAATATCATCCATGTTATAACAATTGGAAAAACTACAGTAAATCAAAGGCGGTTTGAAACTATAAAGATACCTACCTGCAGGGTAGCAAGTGTTTCAAACATTTTTAGGTTTGCTTCACATTCATCTTTCTTCAGAGGATTGTCTGTTGGAAGACAAAAACAATTACTTCCTGACTCCATTTACAAAGAAAATGTAAGATTTTTAAGTTGTGGCTTACCTTTTTGAATGCTGAACAGGAATTTAAGGATTTCCACGAGTGTCTTAGTCATAAACATTTGTGTTTTGTGCTGCAGGAAAAGAAGAGGTTATTGTGGTGTTTGATCAAAGTGTTGCCAGTAACAGTGACCCTCAGGCTTCCACTCTATTAAAATACCATGCAATGCTCTACAAATGTCTTAAGAAACAATTCTCAAGTCTAAGATACAACCAGATGAAAAGCAAGGGAACAGAAAGTTATTGTAAATATGCATCCTTTATAGAAATAGCAAATATTTTATAGCTGTAATATGTATGTACTCCACACAGTCCATTAGCTCTCACAGGAGTTTTGAAAATATCCGCCCTTCTCCCTTTGTTCTTCCTTCCCTTGCCCACAATAGCTCCCTAAAACAACTGTTAACAAAAATTTTCTTCTGTGGTTGCAAGACAGTATTGTGTACTGTCAACTTGAAGCTTCAATCCACTTTGGTGTGTGGCGAAGTCACACCTACAGCTTTTAAATAGATGTTTTCCAAGCAACTAAAGAAAGAACTGGAAAATGCATAGGACTAGAGGTATAATAGTGCAGCAGGATTTATAAATTATTAATTGAATTCAGATAGCCATGCCATTGTGTGGAGATGCCTTTAAAAACAACACAAAATAATTGGATAGTATACAGAATCAGAATAAACTCAAGTTGGAAGAGGCTTCTAGTCCAACCTCTTGCTCAAAGCAGGACTAGTTTGTCATCCGTTTTTGCTGGAAGATACAGTTTTTACATTTGCATACCCTACCTTTTTTTAAACATCTGGGTAAGAATAGTATTTAGAATAATTTGTACACACAGTTCATGATGTGAAATGACTTGGTACCTCTTCAGAATTATCTGCTTTATTCTGTAATACCAGTGTTCCCCATACAGTCAATCTCTCTGCAACTTTCTCAGCTTCAGCAAGAGTCAGAGATTTTAACAAAGTCAGAGATTCCTCTCCCTGAAGTGGGGGGTGAAGAAAAAAAAAAAAAAAAAGGAAAAGTAAGCCAGAAATAATCAAAAGGAAGGGGCATTTGCTTTTGGAAAAGCGAAGTTATGGGTAATCCCTTGCTTCGATACAATGGTTGCATGATGGCCAACTGGGTAAGATTAATCTTCTGCTGATGAACTTCAAATCTCTTTAGAAAATACATTTACTATGACATGACTTTCTTAAACTCCCTGAATAGTTTTTACTAAATCTAGGAGACTTTCAGTAAAATCTATGTGCTTACTCACTAAGGGTTATAATAGGAAGATTAAAATGCAGTTTTGTTCATTGGCAATTATGCAATGTTTTTAAAACAGTATGATTATCAAGAATACCATGTGCTAATAAGGCAGAACAAATGTTAACGTGAGAAACACTATTTTGCAGATGAGTTAATTTGATTCCTTTAATCAAAAGGCCTCCTTTCTTCAGGTCAGAGAGATCCCAACAACTTTTATTCCATGTAGTTGTCCCTGGTTATGTTATCATCACACCTCCTATAATGTAGCAAGCAAAGTTAAATGTTTCTAGTTAGGACATCAATGTAATATAAAGATAACAGGTTTTTTTGCTACACTGGGACTTGAACCTAACTTGGAAGAAAGCTTCATACTAATAGATAAACATTCAACCCTCTATCGCAAGACAAATATTCAGGTGCTCTCAATACTAAAGGAGCAGGTCTGTACTCATGTGGTGTACCGTTGCATTAGAAGAAAGAATCTATTTTTGGTTGGCAAGAAAGCAACTTGCCCAAAAACAACTCTAGCAAAAACAGTATGTAAAAATATGTAGATATTTCAATTCCAAACTTGTCTTGTATATTGTGGGTTATAATTTTCATCCTTTTTTGCCACAAATGAAGGATGGCTCATGACGTTTAAAACTCTGACAAAGGTCTCATTTTCCATGTTAAGTATAGGCAGTTATGTGTAAAATGAATAGAACCTTAATTAAAAAAAAAAATATGTAAACTGTGTATAGGATTTCAGGCAAGTGGTACAACTTGCCCCTGTTTTGAAAATAGGCCTCAGTGTCTTTAAACTCTGAGATCAGCTGACATGAAGTATTTTAGTACCCTTTCTTTGTCAATCAGGTCTATCATCCTCAGAATGTAGACTTCCACAGTGGGCAACATATATGCTGCTACAATTTTCAAAGCATCCTCCAAAGAAGTAGGGGTATCTTGCTTAAGAATGTATTTCACTAGCCTCTGTAAGAAGAAAACAGATATGGACTTTAGTTTGTTGATGTATAGGATAACAAAGGAAGTAATTTATACACACTACTTCTCCATTGTAATTGTACAGCTCATACCAAGCAAGTTACCTAGAAGTTTAAGACTTCTGTCTAGAGAAAACTGGACTAAAACGTAACTGGGAGAAGATTGAGCTTGGGGACAAGAATTATCCTGGGAACTCTCAAAATTCAGGGGACTCATCTGGCTCCACAGGATGGCAAGGAACTTTTCCAGAAATACTTATGTTTTCTCCCTAATAAAGGAGAGATGCTAAAAAAAAAAACCAAAAACACCCCCCAAAAAACCCAAACCACCAAGTATTCTTCACTGTGAACCTCGGAGAAATTGGATCTGAAGTCTTGAGAGGACTTAGCCTTCCATTTTGTTAGTTTCCTCTTTTCTTTCCTGCCCTGCCTCCCAAAAGTACTATATTATCAGTGCTGTGCTAATCAGGTTGGACTAAGCTAATCCGCAAATTCTTAAAAAAAAGAGTGGGCTTTCAGGCAAAAAACGTGTCCCAACAAGACAAGAAAAATGGATATTGATAACAAGTGGGAGCTACCAGTTGCTAAGACTTTTTGAAAAGTCTGGCTCATAATACCCCATGAAAATAGATGCAGGCAAGTGTAGGGATTTTTGTTTAATAGAAATAAGAGTAATGCTGATCACTTACCATAATCATCTGCTTGTCCTTTAAAAGATTAGTATCTCTTATGCCATAGGCTCGCAAAAGCTTCTTCATCTCCATCAGTCGGTAACTTTCCTGCAGTAACTTTACTCTGTGGACAAATCAGACTATTAATTTATTTGCTACCTACAGCTGTATGATTTAATCATCATATGACATCAGATACACAGTATTTCCCCTCCTGCCCCCAAACAGAATTCTAATTGAAAGTACACACAAATCTGAGGTGTAGTCTGTGGATGGTGCCTTACTTGACATGATTCATTTCCAAATGCTGTTTTACCAGCTGCTCCACTGCTGCACTCCATGGTACCATAGCACCATGCATTATCTGTAGAACTGCATCAAATTTTAGCTATAAAAGGAACATAAAGAGCTTACTTTTCAAAATAAGTTACAAGGTAATCTCTTGAAGTATTGTTCACATGTGATTGTTTCATTTAGGCAAGCGTTTTATTTCCTGGCTCAATCTCCACTTGCATAACAGGCATTCATTATCACAATATGATGTGTCAAGTTAGATTAGAAAACGCTTATAGTAATTTACAACACTGTAGAGCTTGAGTTTCATACATATTAAAGTTGGTGAGTTTTCCATGTGATGACATCAAAACTACGATTCAATTCCCAAGCAAAGAACATCACATGGGAGAAGACTACTAAAAAGAATAAAAAGACAGCATACTCTTTGTTCCTCCTCATACCACTCATGTAAAAATGTACTCATATGCTTATGTAAAATTATGTTTCATTCTGATGTGTTAGAGCTACTTGATGCCTATTTCGTAAAATATACTTACATCTGTATCAGAGATACAGCCAATGACAGATACTGCCTTTGCCTCCCATGCAGTTTCAAATACTGAAGTAGACCGTGTACGACAACGTTCTAGCAAATCCTGTATATTTTGATAAAGATTATTAGGATATTTGAATTCAGAAAATATAGGAATATAATATAAACAAAAGTTTTTTGGACATTAAGGGACAGATTTGGCTATCTTCCCTTATATCTGTTAATGCCTTATTACTGAAATAGTAACTATGAATAAGTTCATTGACAGGAGTAAGCTAATCTGAAAGCTGGTCCTAAAATTCAATACATTTATGTAAATAAAAATGGTCATCAGATTGGTTTTCTGCTTGTTCAGGTTTAAACAGCTTTCTTCAAAAGGTAGAAAACATGGATACCTTTATATACTGTAGAAGAAGTTCATCCTTTTGTAGATTATGTTCACACAGGTAGGGTTTTATAAACTTCTCCAAAATGGATGGGACAAGCTCTGGTGCCAAAATTTTATCAAACATGCGAAACACAATAGTAGTTGAATTTTCCTGGGCAGCAAGTAGAACAATGCCATGTTAGAACATCACACATATTAGTACATGATCCTTTACATCTCTAATAAATAATTCAACATCCAGTGTCCACTGAAATCAACTGAATGATTTCAAGAACTAGCATCCCTCTTTAGCTCAAATAAAAGCTTTCTTTTACAGACCCCCTTATTGTTCAGTTGTACTTCTAATTGCTTTGTTGCTAATGCTTCCTCCACAATATACGATCTGTAATGAACTGCGTATCGTGGAGTTTAAGCCACACCTTCTCGTAGTATCTTGTCACATTATATATTTATACCCATGGTTGAAACAGAATTTATAAATTTATAACAAACACAACGTATCAAATAGCCTTAGCAGCTTATGAACACAAGTGTAACCAACGAATCCACCAGGATTCCTCTTTTGTCTGACTTTAAATCACATGCTCCAAGATTTTTCTCTTTCTCAGAACAATTCACTACTCAGAAGTACTTTTTGAAGTGTCTGCAGAATTACCTTTTCAAAATCACAGAGTGCCAGCCTGCAGTTGTATTTTCTGTACAGATTTATCAGTTCCTGCAAATCATTTACCAGCTTCTTTAACCTATGTACCTCTTCACAGTCACCACATCTCTGAAACAGTGTTTAGAAGTGAAACATTAGAAGACTTGCTACAATCTTCAAGACCACTAATGGGCTGTCATAAACAGAAAGAAAACAAATTATTCTCCACATCTCTGGTATAAGACAAGGGTAGTTGACTTACAATGCAGCAAGGAAGATTCTGGTAAGATACTAGGAAAAGATTCTTTCTAAATATAAAGACAGCGATGCACTAGTAGAGCCTGCACAGGGAAGAGGGATGAGCATTTCATTCACTGAAAGTCTTAAGGACGGGTAAGACTCGGAACAGTATAGCTACAGCTGACATTTTCTTTGGAGTCAGAACCCTATTTGTCATGCAATTTCCCAAGAAACCTCACAAACTGTCGTGGTTTAGCCCCAGCCAGCAACTAAGCACTACACAGCCACTCACTCACTCCCCCTACCCTGATGGGATGGGGGAGAGAATCGGAGGAATAAGAGTAAGAAACACTCCTGGGGTGAGATAAGAACAGTTTAATAATTGAAATAAAGTAAAATAGTAAAGATAATAATAACAATAATAATATTATACAAAGCAAGTGATGCACAATGCAATTGCTCACCACCCGCCGACCGATACCCAGATAGTTCCAGAGCAGCAATCGCTGCTCCCTGGCCAACCCCCCCCAGCTTCTATACTGAGCATGACACCATATGGTATGGAATAGCCCTTTGGTCAGTTTGGATCAGCTGTCCTGGCTGTGCCCCCTCCCAGTTTCTTGTGCACCTGGCAGAGCATGGGAAGCTGAAAAGCCCTTGACTAGCATAAGCAGTACTCAGCAACAACTAAAAACATCAGCGTGTTATCAACATTCTTCTACTACTAAATCCAAAACACAGCACTATGCCTGCTACTAGGAAGAAAATTAACTCTATCCCAGCCGAAACCAGGACACAAACAATTTTTGATGCCTTGCAATCTTGAAGATTTTATGAATATATATGCTGAACTATTAACTTTGTATGGCATACAACAAAGAAAATCAAGTATGTGTTGAAAGTGGGACTAAAATTTCTCTTCTTTCCATTATGCACTTTGAATATAGGATTCAAAAGTTTAAGACAGCAGATCTAACTATCATAGAATGTCAATGTTTCCAATTTTTAAAATACAGTCAGTTAGCTTTAAGCTTTATCTTTCTCCACTTTCATACGACCACTTTTATAGATGCTAGTATACCTAGGATATATAACATACATAATTTATTTGTGTTTGCACAAATTCAGTATTCATAACCTTACAGCTAGCTGATTTTTAATACCTGTCTTCTCCAGGCCATAACACATGGTTAACTGCAATTAATTTCCAAAAATTTTGACAGAGATGACACATGTTTTAAATTTAAGTTCATAAGGAGTATCTTTCCTGAAACTCAAGCGTTTTGTAGTACTCAGGCTTATTTGTATACTACAGAATATTCAAGAATATAATTCACATTTAGACTATTAATACATCTGTTAAAGGGTATTAAAGTTGCACTGACTTTTTTTTTTTTTTTTAAACTCTTTAAACCAAGAAGATTGGAAATCAGTTCCTTCCTTTCATGGAATTAAGTCAATCTTCACCAAAACCAACAGTGACCTAATTATCATCCATTCCAACTCTAGCATAGAACATATGTCCTGAAGTCTCTTAGTAGCATAGCAAATCCTTATATTTGCTTTATTTCTTACCAAAGGAGTCCACTGGCCGAAAGCTGTCAGTCCCATTTCACCTTGATTTTTACTTGTAAAAAAAACTTCTGCCATTTGGAGTCCATTTTCTGGCCAATTTGCCTGTCCAAAATAATTGATATTAGCAAATTATATTATACATATAAAAATACAAGACACACAAAGTTTCTGCAGTATGACTTACCTTATCAGTTAATTCAAGGTTTCGAGCACCTTGTTCCAGCCATTTTGCTAATATTTTCTGAAAAAAATACAGTTATAAGTAGAGTTATGCTATCTATCAAAGCAAAATTTGCTATTAGAAATTTGTTTTAAAAGAAATTTGTAAAATATAAACTGTAGGGAA